TTTTGGGGTGAGCAGTTGCCTGGGGCACCATCTGATGACCCAAGGACTTGGCAGTAGCCTACTTTGGGGTTTCCCAAGCTTTTCCATAGCTGGAGCCACCTCCGCTGCCTCCCTCAGCCCTGGGGTTGCTGGCTGCTGGAGCTGCCAGCTTACACAGGGAGGGCAGCCAGCCTTGACCCATCTCCTTGGGTGGGAACGGCAGCCCAAAACCACGAGAGAAGGGGACTCGCCCTTCACGAAGGCTGCAGGTGCAAGCGATGGGGCAGGGCAAGCAGCCCTGCCTGGGGGCCTTCCCCCGGCAGGGGCAGACCTTCATCCTGCCACAGCTGGACAACCAGGCAGGGGGAGCACAGAGCCGCCGGAGGAAGGGCTCTGGAAAGCCGTCCCTCCTGAGCAGCTCGAGGAAATTCATATTTCATGTTCTGCTCCTTCTCTGCCCACGGAGTTCTTTCTCGTGGTGGTGCGTAGGTGTATGTGAGGGATTTATCCTTTCCCCACTGAATCACTGCAGCGCAACATCTTTTCAACCCTTCTGTACAGCAGAGAAGAGCCTCATGGCATTTCTCCTCATTTTCCTGCTTAAGGAGACAGCCGGCGAGCTCCACAGCGCGACCCGGCTGCACCCCAGCTCAAGGCCGGGAAGCAGCACGACCCCTCCTAGCCCCCGCGGAGGCACGCCTGGGGGAGCAGACAACCCCTCTCCCGGCACTCCGAAACCACAGCCCAGCCTGCCTGCGGCCAGCATGAAGGTGCTAGGGATGCTGCTGCTTTTTCAGCTGGAAAATTGCTCAAGGGGAGGAGCAGAGCCGGGTGCCCTGAGCACGGTGTGCTGTCCCCACCGCCTCAGGAGCCCAGATCCAAGCCAAAGCGTTACCAAATCCCAATTAGTGCAGTAACGAGCGTTTGTGCTTTAACTAGGGGCCACTGGAAGATGTTTCATCACCACGCCTGAACCTGGTGTTTGTGTATGAGTTTTCTGTATTTCAAAAAGAAAGCATGGAGGAAATGGGTTCTGCTGCTGCTGTCACGGGCAAAGCCATCGCCCTGAGTAAAGGCACGGCCATGAGCAGATCCTTTCCCCGCTGACCCTCATATAAATTGCTTATTTAGAAAAAGACACGGGAGCTTTAAGGCAGGTAGCCAGCAATAAAAATTTTAAATGGCAACAAGTTCTCTTGGCTGCAGGAGAAACAGGCACCTCCTGAAGTTTCAAATTAACATTAATAACCCTCCCGCAACAGTTGTTTAATCCAACAGTGCTTTCCAACCGCGGACGTTGCAGTGTTAAGCTTCACAGCACCTTGATGAGGCACCGAATCCGGTGGGCCTGACACAAGCCTGCGGGTCCTCGTAGGACCATGCCTGTCCAGCATCGCTGCGTTTTTATTGAACTTCAGTCAGTCACTGCTAGGCCCAGATCAAGTTTAAAAAAAACCAAAAAAACCCAAAGACTAAAGCTTTTCCAATTATACTTGCATGCAGTCTGGAAAATCAATAAATAACTTGCGGCATATTCTGTCCCATCCTTGCATCTTCAAGACAACAGTGCCTAGCTCCTTCCTTCCTCCTCCTATTTCCTCTCCCAGAATAGAGCAAGATCACACTGGAAGTGCAGACCAAAACCAGCAAACATTAAGCCATCGGTTCCGATTTCCCACATTTAATCTCTTTTGGGCTGGGAGAAGGCAGGGGATCACAACCCTACTCTGTGCCCATCAGGCTGCATGGATTCTCCCCTCTGCTTTGAATCACACCCGACTTCCATGCCATCTCAGCAGCCTGCATGATTTTGATGGATTTTGGTGGGGTTCCCCCCAACTTCTCTTGATATTTTTGCTCCCTGGTCTGTTTCTCCTCCCTTTTTATACCCCACCTCCCATTCAGTTTCTGTCCTCCAACCATACTTAGCACTTGACTATGGAGATGTGGGCCGCCGTTTAGAACGCGAGCTGAAAGACGGTGGATCACCAAGACAACTGCTGAGGGCAGCGCAGGGCTGGGCAGCGATGCTTTGTCTCCAGAATACCCAAAGACCGCTTACAACTGCCTAGTATCACCTCCTAGCAGATCCGCTTTGTTTGCATTCTTGTGCAAATATAAGCACACACAAAAGCAAGAGTGCAGGAGGTGGAGAGAGCATTAAATAAGACCGCCAGGCTGCAGACCCTTCCTGGCTTTCATCAGTTCCTCCCTCTTTGCCTTGGCCCACTGAAGCCCCGCAGGCTGTGCACGTAACAAGGCCACCCATAAACGAGGCTTCAACCACAAGAGCAGGAAAAGACTTCCTCCAGTGAGAGCTGCACTGCAAGCTACTCCCTCCTCCCCTAGCCCCAGAAAATTAACATCTCCATTTAGAAAAGGCGATTAAAAAAAAAAAAAAAAAAAAAAAAGGAAAAACCCTGGGGAAACTGAAGAGTTCTCACGGTGAATTTTATTTTGTAAGCAACAATATAAACATGTGAATAAGAACAGGCATCATTTGCAGGGCTGGCCTTTGATCCAGAGTACCCTGAATCTAGCAACCCTTCAAGAGTAGATGAGGGCAAGCCTTCACCTGCGACTCCAAAGGCTGGCCAAGCTGCAGTCCACCAAGACCTTTGTCATGGAAAGACCAACGCTTGAGTATTTGCTATTACCAAATGTATGTGCAATCTTGGAATGTACCTCCCACCTCCCCCTCCCCCAGGTTTAAAAAACCAAAATCATACAGCTGCAAACCAGTAAAAAAAATTGCTTTCAGCTTATTGAGACTGAAATGGCCTGTTGGACTATAAACTGAAATATCATTCTAGAGATAACCAACTGGTCGTGACACAAAGTACTGTATTTACAACTCAAAAATATAGCTGTTATATACTTTAATTTATAGCAAATTTAATACATTAGTGTTTACAAAATAAATTCTGGACTCAACTGAAACAGCGTGCTGCTTCGCAAGTTCTTTTTCCTTCCTCTCACTTTAATTGAAGAGACCAGCAAGCTTAAGAGCTTCTTCTGTGATCCACACCCAACTTTTGATCATGCCAGATGTTGAAAAAACAGACCATTTCCTGCATCTCTAAAGTCTTGTTGCTTGGCACCTTCTATCACTCAAGCTGTACAGTTCAAACCTTAAGCTGTCCTTTAACAAGTTCCATACACGTCTCATGAAAGCTACTCAGATACTAACCAGGGCACCAGCTAACATTACAAACTGAAGAAATATCTTATCCGTATTACTAGCTCACACGACAGGAAAGAGGAAATATAACTACACATTCAATCTCTTATTTCTAACAGCAAAGCTGCAAACTCCATCGCTTAAAGTAAGATACTTCAGTAAGTGAAACAGTACCATACAGTTCAAGAAACATTTTTTTAAAAAACAAACATTTTAATAGTATAAAAAGTTGTTTACTGGTGTTTCTACTATAAAGCTTTGTTCCACAGATCGAAAGTGATAAAATAATTAGATACGTTTACAGTGATAAGAGACTGCAGTGTAGACATTTCAGCTCACATTTTGCTGACCGTTTCAGTACAAGATAGACTGCGACTGAATCGTTAATACACATCTATGACACAGAGCAAACTGCAGACATGAAGTGCACACCTGAATATGGAAGTTTACCCACTGGCATGGTAACTTACTTTCTTCAGCCCTCCCTTTCCCCTCCAGAACACACTGTAGGCAAAAACTGTATTCAGAAACTCAGGCATATAACTATTTTGACTGCAGGAAAGCAACTCTTATTGAGGGAGTTGCACGGAGGAAAAATGGATGCACACAAACACACCATGGTAAATTCCCAAGTTATATGCCGACTATTTCTCCTTAGATAAAATGACATCTGCAAAAGTGAAAATGTACAAAAAATAAAAACTGTCAAATAAATAAAGAAACAGATGTTAATCACATATATAAAGAAACGTATTGGCATACTGTATGCAGTATACGGTATATTCATAGAATCATGTGGGCTGGACAGCACTTAATAAGGAGTCACATGCTAAAGTCATAACTCCTTGTCTCCCTCCTCCAAAACTTCTTATGGTTTCTGGATATCAAGTGCAACCTTTTACACCGATGCATAAATCCTGCATCATATTTCATCTTTGCCACACGTAGGATGCTTTTTTTTTTTTTTTTTTTTTAAAAGATCCACAGAGAAGTCCAAAAAGTTATAATGGTCTGAATCACAATTTTTGCAGCCCTGTCCATGCTACTTGGTCTCTTGGGTTTCCTACCAAATAAGATTTTAGTAATTGTACAGTATACCAAACCATCGGTTTTTCCCAACGAAATGGGAGCCAATCGCACAGACTCTTTCATACTCTAACCGGCATTTTCTACACTCCTGAACTGTAGGTAGGTATTACGCTTTAAGTGTGTTACACAAAGGCTGCTGAAACCATTGAAAGTGATGTAACAATAGTTAAGTGTCAAGTACGTCCGCTATAATACAGAATCAGGGTCTAGGTCTATCAAATGCTATATTCACATAACATTTTAAACCATGAAATATTTTATGCATTTTCCTTTTTTCTACAAATATTGTTGCAAACTTGCTGTTAATTGTGTCACGAGGTTCGCATTCCTAATTCTCCAAGGATTTTTAATTCAAATGTTTAACAACCATATCTACGCTAGGTACACTTAAAGTAGACATTGAAATTTCAAGTAAAATGAACTGTAGCCACATCTACTGGACTCAATACACGTCCCGACATCTAGATTTACTTTGATAAGTTATACAAATACATAATACATTCTTAAATAATGAAGACGCACAATATTAATTTGTGAATCTTCCCACGTTATAAAACCACTTTTACAGGAATGTTTATCCACCTGTATTACTGTTCTAGTTTGCAGTGTCTCTTGCTTTCCTGTTTCCACAGATTACTGTACCAGTTCTTAGGCTTTGGCTATTGAAATCTCTTATTTGAATGAGGCAACACTGGTTATTAAGGCTGGTGTTTTTTTTCTCTTGTGAAGTTTCATTCTTTACTATGACACCATTTTCCAGAGCAGAATGACTATCTTGTGTCTTCCGGTTCTGTTTTTATGACCTTCCTTTCTATGTTGTTAAAAGCCGAATGAGGAAAATCCTTTAAAATACCAAGGCCTTCTGCATTAAGAAAAGAAAGAAAGAGAAAAAAGATGTTAAAAACACTGCTTGGAAACATATATTCTGTTCTTAATTCAAGAAAAAGGTCCATGAACCATATAGATACTAACAGTTGAAGCAATAAATTCTGCCGCCTCCTGCTGGGCTTTAACCCAGCTGGGTTAGAACCACATCAGTTACATTGCAGTGAGGAGAGAGTAATCACCACAGATTTACTTCAATTCTCTCTGGGAGCAGGGCTTAGTGGAGGTGCACTCTTCACTTGCATTGTGAAAGGGAACTGGTAAAAATCCCCAACTAGAAATTTCGTTAAAGTGAATTATCACTGGGATTGGGACAAACAGCAAAAAAGATGAGCTAAGATTGCAATATACCAAAGTGGAAGATACAAAATTCTGCCCAGTCTTCAAAACAACTACTTTTGCTTCTTGTCTTTCAAATAACCTCTTTCCCATTGCATCTTCCAAACTCAGGTGGGATTTTATTATTATTCCTAAAGTTGCAAGAGTCTCAAGAATTCCTGGCTTCATCTCAGTGCGCCAAGTATTAAACTGAAACCACCCATATAGATTTCACAAAGGATTCTTGCTGTCCTCTATCGAACTTGGAATGAGTTTCTCCCAATGCCAGAGGTAAATGACAAGATTGCCAGTGCGCTGAAGTCAGTGAATGGGAAACCCAGTTCAGAAGACTTACTGCGCGATTTGGTTCACAGTACAGAAACAGTGCTAAGTCCTTATAAACCAGAATAAAAAGTGTCTTTATAAAGAAAGTCTGATGCCTTTATACAGAGTGAAGCCATGTTATAATAAAACTGCATTACAATGACAGCAATGTAAGTATTTAACAGCAGTAGTTTGGGTCAATGCTGCTCTCTGAGGACAGACACATGCCAGAATTTTTTATCTGAACCTAGTTACTGCATCCTCTAAGCTTTTCCCAAATAATACTCAATCTGATTCTAGATTAGCAAGTAACACTCCTCTTGAAGTTTTGTTCCAAAGCCTTCATTAAAAGGTTACACACAAAGCATGCCAGGCTGAGCTACTAGCTTCTTCACTCAGAGACATCACGTACTAGTAAGTTCATCACAGGCTTTGTAAGAAATGGTGGGTACTTTACAAGGGACAGCACTAACCCGAGGACTGGGACTTTGCCTCACCACTGGGGTAAAGCCGGATCAAATCACTGCACAGAGGTTTTCCAATATGCTGCTCTCCATCAAGTGAAATGTGCTGCAACTGTCTACTTGGCAGATTTGACATTCGGAGATTCAGCGGTCTTTCACCTGGAAGTTGTTCACAGTGAAAACATTGATGCATTATTAGAAAACAAGTAGAGACTTAAACACACACTAATTCTATCAGCAAAAGTGCATCCTAAATTCCAGGGAAGATTTCTAGCAAAACAAGGCTTAGGTAAATATGCTGCTTTGCAGACTATTCCACAGGCACTGCTGGAAAGGGACACTCAGCCAGACAAAAAGAAAAAGAAAAAAAAAAAAAAACAAAATTTAAAACACCTCTCATTCTGCTCAAAAAACCCTTTGAGATCCTAAAAATTCCTGCTCCCACTGCACAATTGATAAATTGTATGAAGAAGCTTGCACTATCAAGAAGAGCTGGATGTGCACACCTAATTCTTCCTGTATACTTGTGCACCATATTGCTTGCCAATACACACAAATGAAAACCTGTGTTTTAACGCTTACTTATATCATTCCCTTAGTTTCTCCCTCTACTGCTTCTCTTCCCCCCTTAAACAAACTAGCTCTCAAAAAATAGATACAAGAACTTCTGGTTGTATTTCCTGCATTTATAACATTTTGTCTCATTTCACAACAGTAAAAAGAAATCCAAACAGAAAGCACTCGAACAAAACAAACACTCCCAAAATTAATTCAAGCTAAGGAATAGCTAGTTGGTAAATCAAAGAGACAACCACAAAACTGCAAGCTTTTTGAAGAATAACAAGCTACTAAGAACATCATTAGAATCTGCTTAGTTCTAAGTAATTTACATAGCCAGCTCCTCAGGTTTTGTTGCCAGACTGCAGAAACAGGTAAACAAAAAAGGGTACCAACTATATTACTCCACAAAGCAAGAACACAAATGAAATGCAACATTCTGCTCCATTTCCAAAACTTAGGATAAAGCTAGAGCCAAGTTCTGCCCTCAATAACAGTAGTGCACTCTACCATCTTCCCTCCCCACGTTATCCATCGGGAGAGCAGTTTGCCCAGATACATCAGAGTAACAGAGCAGAATCTGACTGTACATCTGATTGCATTGTTTAGACTGTAAGCACTTCAGGGCACAGATCTTGTCTTGTCCATTCAGTGCTCAGTGTTCTATAATAGATAAATAACACCACTGACAAAGGTTGCATAATATCAAATGTATTTGCTGGCAGCAACACCATGCCTGGAAGCTCCCATACCTTGTCCATCAGCATTATCTAATGACATGCCATTGGGGCTGTGCTCTTCTGAGTTTTGTCTGTAACACCCTGTGGAAAGACGTCTTTCTAATGCAGCCTGGTTGCAAAGAAACTCCATCTGTTTTGCCATCACCTTTTCCGACTGCAAATGAAGCAAAAAAAAATTGCTCTCTATATACATACATATAGCGAGTCAAAACACAGGGGAAAAAAAACCAGTATCAGATGATAAGACTAACAGCCTAGATAAAGGGTTTTGTTGACTCATATGTACAGATGTGTGCTTTACAGTTTCTTCAAAACTATCAAGCAAACAAAATATTTTTGCACCCATAAAGATTTTCATACTGTACATCTGAGTCACTCAAGAATACTTAAAATGCAAGCTGCTGTAGTTCATCACACAGAAATACAATGTTAAATTCTGTTCTTCCAAAACATACAAAAAAATCACTTTCTGCACTTCAGGACTGCAGGTTACGTGAAGAGAATCTCAAGAAAAGCAAAAAATAATGTCTTAATTACCCAGTTAGCTCTGTTCAAATATATGCCTTCACAAAGTATTCCAAGAGCAACGGCAACATCTGCTAAAAACTTATGCCAAGATTTCACCAGACATCTTGGAATCTTTATTTTAGGAAACAGCACTACACAAGCTTAAAAATCTGCCATTCTGAAAGTGTAGGATGACAGTATGTTTGTGGGGGATAAAGGTGTGAAATGTCTGTCTAGAAGAAGAACAAGACCTATACACCTCTAGAGAGTGAAACTAAACAATGCAGTGCAACGTGGGAGGAAATGGCGTCTGAATGTTTGTCATTGACTTTAATGCCAAGAGAATTCTAACTTTCAATATAATCTTGTTCTTGAGAATGTAAATAAGCATCTTGCAAAAATAAAAAGAAAATCACAAGTCAAGAAAGTTGATTTAGAAGAGCCACAATGAACATAAGAACATAAAGTGTACAAACTTAACATGTACAATTGATAGGAAAAAATTCATTTCTCTTTCAGGTAATGCCATAATTGCTTCAACTAGTACAGAGGCCTATTAATTGCAGAGCACTTCACTTTTCTTGGGAGATGATGAAAGCCCTGACTTCCCATGAAAGTCTGCTTACTCAGCATAGTGCAACAATTTACAAATACAATGACAGCGTAACAGACCAGCAAAATCTGAGTTTCTCCAGCACAGTGATGACCCTGGCAGCAGGGTAGCGACATGACTGGTATTTACTTACTCTGGCTTAGAGCTCATCAGGTTCTGCAGAAGAACACTGTTAGCTCAAGTTTGGTTTTGGGAGGTAGGTTAAAAAACCCACTATTTTCAAATAGGTTACTTGCAAGTGTGCTTTAACTTTGCTATTCTGTCACTCCTGTTACAACTTTTGAACTGCAAAACAATTTTTAAAAAGAACAAAACATTTCTCACTCATGCCGTCTTTGTTGTTTAATTGGGATAAAACCAGAATTTTAAGCTGCAATGATGCTTCTGATCACCATAGAAAAACATGCAGAATTGCAGATACATTTAAGCTTAAAATAAATCTCTAGTCCATTGTTACACAGCAGTGACCAATGAAAACTTTAAAGCACGTACAAGATGAAAATAAGCTTGCAAAAATCAAGTTCCTTTAATCATTATGTGACATCAGAACACATAGCATAATTGCTTTTTGATGTATCACAATGAACAGATTTGTACGACTGTACACTACTTTGCAATAGAAGAAGGTAAAAGACAGGGTAACACGTCTAGTCTCAGAAAACAGGAGTATAACTCCTAAATGTAATCTTACGTGAAAATTTGGTGATTACATTTCCCCAACTCAGCTATAGAAAATAAATTTGTTGCAACTTAGCATGAAATCCCTCCTTGGCAACAACTGGCAGTAGGAAATGCGTATTTTGCCTCAAGGCTGGGATACACTACAGAAAAGACAAAGAAAGAATCAGAAAGCTGTCTTCATTTATAAAAAGCTTTCTGGATACTCAAAACACTGCACTTCCACCAGGCTAGATGTGATTTAGAAAGGCAATTTATCCTCTTGGATCCAGAGGTTCACTATTTCCTAAATATATTGGCTTTTCTTCTCACAAGAAATGTCAGAACTGAGGACTCCAAGATCGCCTACTCTATTCCTCTAGACTCAGTAACTTGAACTTTCCATTTATAGCTAATAATGCAAGTAACACAGCACGTACTGTACCAATAGTGCCCTACTTGGTCCCAACAGGCAATCACGTATTTTCAAGCCTACTACACTAGATCTTATCTCCTTGGAAATAACAAGGGTAAAGCTGTAGCACTGTGTCAGAAGAGTTTCAGAAGGTAAACCCAAATTAAGAGTGATGCAATCACAGCTAAGCTAGGTAGCCTTTGAAGATCGATGGCAATTACATCAGTCATCAAAACAATACATCAAAATCAATGTACAAAGACATGGCCTGTATTATTCACAGTGTAGTGTAGTTGGTTTACCTGGGAATTAAGAGCTGTTGAGTCTTCACTCTTTCCTTTAGCCAAAGCAAGCGGCATTTTGTCTTGCTGATAGAGTGTCTGGACTGTGTCCTGGAAATCAGGATAACCATCCTATTGAGCATAAGAAGAAACCAAACACCAAGAGGGACATATTACTGATTTTTCTTCATCCTCTCTGTATACTCAAAAGAAAAAAAAAAAACCCCACATTCCTGAACTTCTGTGAAAATTCTGGACTACAATGTACATGTTTGTGCTATTCACTTCATTTAAGTTTGTGCATAAAACACACACAGCCCCTCTACAACAACTGCTATATATCTAAAATTGCACACACAGACAATCGTATCTCATCTATCTCAGTTTCAGGTGAATCCAGACTACTGTTGTCACTGACATTAAACTAGTTTACATTCAGCCTTGCCAGGCAGATTTAGGCCTATGGTTTCTGTCACTCATTACATGCAACAGCTTTGGAGATTCTTAAGAAATCAAGTTTATATGTAGCTGAGAATAAGGCACAGCAGCAGGATATACTAGCCTTGAGAAACTGAGCAAAGCCTCCTGAAATTCAATGTATTTAACACAGAACTTACACTACTATCACAAAATGAAGCATCACCAGAAATATCACCATTTTAAAAGTAGGGTAGCAAAGACTTTATATACTATGGGAAATCATGATTCAATAATTCTTTCAGTCTCAAATGCTTATGACATGCAAATCTCTTTTGCAGCTTGCATATGTACCAATAAAGCAAATAAAGTTCCTGTGAAAGCCTGCCAGACTCCATTAAAATAAATTAATCATCGAAGCAAAGGTTCAAGATGAGAAATTTATCCTGCTCAGCGTTATAAAAGGAAAGCTCATGTAAAATAGAGGAACATCCAGAATTGTTTACAAAAACACAGTAAGGTGACTTAAAATGTGAGAGGAAGTTAAAGATCTTAAGACAGACCCAAACCTGAAAACAGTGACATCTGTCGCTGAGGATCCACAGACCCAGCTATCAAAAGTACACCAAATTAGGTTATTTTCCTTGCGGCTTCTAGAGGCACGTGCACATAAATAATAATATTTTTGACAATAGCTGGACAAATGGGTTACAGCCCAAGAACAAGAAAAGCAACTTTTCAAAAAAGCCACAGGGAAAGGACTACAAGGTCCACGCCGTTGGCAGGCTGCCCACTGCCCTGCAGAGTGGTGGTCAGACCCACATCAGGTGGCCAGACCCTCAGTGCAACGTAATGCCAATAATGCCATTCTTTATGCTCGGGAAAAAAAAACTTATCTGTCTGAACACTGCAGATTGCTTTTATCCACCCAACATACTCCCTCAGGGAAAAAAAAAACCATGATAAGTATGCAAAATTTCATAACCAGGTAAATTGCCACAAAACCTCATCCTCTAGAAACAAAGGCTTTGCAGCATATTTCCGTGAACACTGACCATTTTCATAGTTAGACCTGAATTTGTTTGGGAGAGGAGAATGATTATGTGTAGGAAGATGAGAAACTGAATACACAAAAACCTGTCACTCAGGATCCTATTTTTGCAACAAAACAGGTAACACGGCTCTTTATAACATATCTGTGATCATTTGCCAATACAAAACCAAAGGCTGCTCCCTAAAAGCGGGGCCAGGAGCCCGTTGCTGCCTGTTGCCGTGACTGTCACCCGTCAGTCACGCAGATAACTCTTGGATGACGATGCAGTTCTGGATCCCCTTGCCAGAGCCCTTCCCCACCGCTGGCTCTTCTCGGCGCCCCGACAATAAGGGCTGACAAGGAGCAGGCTGGGCCAGGCGACGACCTGTTCTGTGCCACGTTTGCCTTGCGGTTCCTTTTCCCTCTGTGGTCAGGAGGGCCTGCTGCATGTAGCACAGCATTTTTGTTTTGCCATGCTGCTGCTCAGTTGTTTTTCAAGCGGCTTTGTGCAGCAGATGTTCTCAGTCCCACATGTGCTTTTTCGCTCCCTCTAATGACATTTTTCCTATGCAAACAGTAGCTTCTACTGCTTTTGCCGTTTTTGTGAAAAACACAAATCCCACACTTCGACTGGTTTTCTTTTCAACCTTCTCAGCAATGGTGGAGGTGGGCCTTTTCTCTCCTCTCCCTCCACCCATACCAGCACCAAGGGAAGACGCTTCCTCACAGCCTCCGCTCAGGTCTTCCTGCCTGTGCCCCCTGATTCCCACTGAGCTTTGTGAAATCGGCTTTTGCAAGCTCCCCCCCCCCCCCCCCCTGTTCAGCTGAGCAGAGACACTGACACACAGAACAATTCCTTTGTACCACAGACAGCACGAATATTATTAAAACTCTCTTTCTTTGCTTTCTTGGCTGTTCACTCTGACTCTGAAGGGGAACCTCGTCAACCCCAACGCAAAGCAGCAAGAGCAATGAGTAGCTTCTCCCTCCGTGCCTTCTGCGTGATATACCTGTGACTTGTTTTGCTTTCTAAGCTGGTGCCACAACAGCTCATCGCTTCGAGCGGTGCTGGTACTGAGTCACGGAAGATGACAAAACAAGGGGTGCCCCCAGCCCACAACACCTATGCAGGAGAGATCCTTGTTCCGCAGGAGGATGCGCCATTTCCAACCCTATTTGCCTGTCCTGCTCTTTGTCCAGAGCACATTTAGGAACTACAACCCCTTTTTTATAATCTGCTTCCAAATCCCAATTCACTCCATTCCCTTTTTCACTCCCTCCACACCTTTAGTCTGTTATTTGCCTGGAATTTTTTCCCTTCTCCTCTCTACACTTCACTCCCACAGCTCGCCCACCCACTCTATGAAGAGGGGGAGAGCTCGCAGGGGAAGCGAAAGGCTTTTACAGGTAATTTGATGTAATTCATGGCATATTGTTTCTTTGTAATGCTTGTCTGAGTTTCATATTCGTGAAGAGGATAGATTTACAATGGTGGCTGTAACCTGGCAATGTTGCAGCTTGCACACACAGCTCTGCTAGCTCTGCTCAAGGATGACCTTCAGAGTCTCTGGAGTTTTTAAGTGTTATTATATTTCAGGAAATTAACTCATCTTTTTTTTTTTTTTTTTTAAGTAATCTTTTACACTATGCAAACAGGGTGTGAAGTCTTTCCAAATTCAAGCACTAGTATTTTAGACTACGCTTTGCAAAGACATTAATGACTAATGGGTAAAGGAATGATGAATCAAAATACAGAGTTCAGCCTTAAAACAGAAAGGCAAAATGACCTTTCCCCCCCC